GGGCGGGGAGTCACGAGGGCAATCGATCCGTTTCTCTTCCCCCCAAACAGCGCCAATTTCCCAGTGCAACTGGGCTTCACGGGGCGGTCGCCCCGAGCTGGGAGGACGGCCGGGGGATGGAAGACTTGTGCGGCGGTTGCGGGAAGGGGAGAAAGGAAAGGAGGCTGGGGGGAGGGCTTGACGTTTCTATCCCCGCCCTCTCCCCTACACACACACACACACACACACACACACACACACACACAGGCGCACACACACGCGCGCACACGCACACACACACGCGCGCGCACGCGAGCGCGCGCGCTCCCTTTATCCCGAGAGCTCGGGCGCCGCCACGGCTCGAATTACTCAAGCGTGCTTTAGCGGAAGCCAGCCAAGAAATCTCCAAAACTCAGTGACCAGCAGCTACCCGGGGAAGGTGATCTCCACGGCCCCGTGCCGCGGGCTCCATCCCTGAGCTCCTCACGCCGCAGGGGCTAAAACAAACACCCTTAGCTGCAAAGAAAAGACAGGTGGGAAAACAGTCCCTCAGCGGGGACTATTTCTAAACTCCGGTGGCGTTCAGGAGGTTGAGGATTGAGGGTGAGCCACTGAAAGGTGCAGCTTTAGCCTCAGGGCGCACTGGGGTGCCGGGGCTCGGCCGAAGTGGGCGCTGACGCCCCGGCTGAGTCGGCGCTCGCGTCCCTGCAGGGCGCTGAGCCGCGCCTCCCGAGCACTGAAGACTGTCCGCCCTGCAGCTGCCGCCGGGCATGCCCAGTGTCACTCCTTGAACCCCTAAGGAGATGCACAAGGTTGGGGGTGACTGCATCTCCAGGTGCTGGAGGCTGGGAGGAAGATGGGAAGGCCAGAGGCCGTGGGCGCAACTGGTACAAAACAAGGCAAGAGTTTGAAAAGGGCGAGGCTGGGCGCCAAGGGGAAGGAACAAAAGGTGGGTGGGGCTGAGAGTTACCAGCCTCGGGGTGACCTCCAGTGCCACTCATCTCCTGAACACACTGGGCACGCCATTCTGATCTCTTCCACCATTTCTAAGGAATCATCTCGTTCAGGAGGAATGAGTTCAAGGGGCAGAACCGAGCTCTCTCCTTTTTTGCTTCTCAGAGCTCGCCAACTCGGGAATCTCATTATATAAGTACACACACACTTCTGCCCAAATAGTCCTCCTGGAAATTTAGCAAATCAAATGTGAAGAGCCATGCCAGGAGAGGGTGTTTTCTAAGTTGTTTCTCTAGTTTTTCTTGCTTCTTTTGGCTTCAGTTATGTTATCCCCTCCTTTACCATAATAGTCAGCCCCTCTCCACGCCCCTTCCTCTAAGAGTCTAACGGAAATTGCCACCCCTACAACCGAGAGAACTGGAACACACACAAGCCTTGTATCCAGCTGGGAATAAAGGGTTCAGAGTCCCCTATCAAAACATGCAGTTAAAGTTTGGGAGGTTTCTGTGCCTTGAATCAGTCTGATTCATGTTTTCTCAGTTTCAGATATGAAGTAAGAAAAGAAAAAAAAAATGAGGCTGGGACTGAGAAGGTCCAAGGGGGAGGGCGACATTAGGAAGGTGAATCCTGTAGACGGCAATAAATAGCAAAGAAATACATATAACCACTTAGGTTTTACATTCCAGAACACACAAGCCAAGAAAAAAAAATTCCAAACAATAACAAGAACCTAAGCAGTTCTTCCTCTTTCATATCGGAGTAATGAAAATGAGTCAGAAAGCGGAGACATGGCCGGGGAACGCTGAATTTTCCAGTTAATTAGCTTTACTTTAGAAGAAGCGATGTATGACAACCCTCAGGCTCTTACAGTAGCTTGAGCTTTCCTGAATACGTACTGTTCCCTCTCTCGGAATAAAGAAAGACCCGCTCCTCCAGCGCCTGGCTTTCTTTACTCCCCCTGTTCGGTGCAGGGAGATGGAGCTGTGTTCTGGTCGCTGGCTGCGCCGGGCTTGGCCGCAGCACTTTCTCCCAGGTGCTAAGCGTGTGGCGGAAGCTGTCCATGGTGCTGACTCGGACTCTGCCGTTAGCAACTGTAGCAACTGCTCTCTGCTTACACCAGGGACAGACAATGGAGCTGCAAACTCAGGCAAGTGTCCCCGATATAGTCACATACACTACTTGTCTTCACTGTATACCCACAGAAACACAGAGCTCTCTTTGCATCCAATTGGTAAAACACTTTCCTTTTCTACTTAGCTTCTTAGGTAAATCCAAGCTCAAATGCATTGCTCCCAAAATGCACCAAGGACTACAGAGAAGACGGAACACACCACATATTGTGTAGGTTGCAATTAACTTTTCGTGTGCACTAAAAAAGGCGTTATAACACCACAGTAAGTTATATCAAAGTCATAGGAAAAATACTTTTATCAAATCATGTGTAAATTTGGTGAACAAATATTGCATAAAAGGGAAATAGGCATTTCCAAATGCTGTTTGAAACACAACATTTATGTGCCACATGACAAGATGCATTGACATGCAGAGGGTAACTGTGTATAATATTTCTAGTTGTGAGTTTGATATTAACTTTCACAGATTATTGAGTCTGGAAACCCTTGAATTTCACTTTAAGGGTGGAAAAATGACTTCTTCAAAAGGAAAAGTGGCATTTTGCTCACTGAAGTATTCTTTCTTTCTCTAAAACCTTTAGAGTAGTCTTTGTTTGTTTGCCCTAGGAAATTAAATGTGTAATGGTTAAAGTTCCATTGTCTGTGTTCATATGAGCAATCTCTGTGGGCTTCACATTTTCCCCAGCCTCATTTAGCTCTAAGATTAGTTCTATTAAGGGTTTAGTATAAGATCATAAGACAGTCTATAACCTATGTATTGTAATTGATTGATCTGAGCAGAAGATTAAAGGCATCCTGTTTCTAAATTACATCAGTAATCGTGTTCATGCATTATACATTGGTACAGTGGAGACAAGTACATCAATCTATATTCAGCCAATAATAGAATAAAACCAGAGGAGGGTAATCAAGGCTGCTTGCTGGCTGGAAGATTACCCCTCCTCTCTACAAAAGTGAACTTTAGATTTTGTGTTGAGGCCAGGTTTTATAAGTTTTTAGTATTTTGGAATCTTTATTTTCTGAATTCTAAATATTGAACAGAGCACATAAGTTCAACTGTTGAAATCTATCAAGGGTACAGTTTAATACTCAACACAATCTACTTATGAGCAAAGATACAGAATAGATTCAGATATATTCTTAAAATTACTTAATTGCCCCTATTGTTTTTAAATTAAGTAGGTTAGTATTTATAGTATGTCAAAAACTTTTTTTACAGTATGCCTATCATATAGCAAGTACTCCATAAATTTCACACACACAAAATTCTGTATATAAGCCCACAGAATTGTTGAAGGCCTACTCAATAACCCTATATTAGGAATTATTTAAATATCATACATTAATTCTTAAATCTTTAAGGAAATAATAGCAACTGTTATGGGCTATTTAAGCAGAAATTTTAAATTAAAAAGAATGAAAACTTTTTGAGATAAAATAAGCAATGCAATTTGTTTCACATTTTTGAAATTATGTAGAATACAAATCAATGAAATGACTGTGAAGTTTTCTCAATTTGGCAAAATTAGTTTATGATCTGATGATCACAATGCAACATTAAAAAGATGATTTTAATGTGTCCTTCTAAGCCACAGGGGTGGGGGACCTTTTTTCTTCCAAGGGCCATTTGGATGTTTATAACATCATTCTCTGGCCATACAAAAGTATCAACTTAAAAATTAGCTATGAAAAAAGTTCCTAGGTTTATTGAATTCCAAGTCCCACTATGGTTGCCTTGGCAGGGCCAGACCAGATGATTTCAAGGCCGGATGTTCCTCACCCCTGTTGTCAGAGGATCCTGGGTATTATCTTAGCAACTGGATCACATTCAACCTAGTTGTAAGCTAGGCAAATTTTGGTTTATATTATCATATAATATGAAAAGAAGCAGAAATTTTGAAGTCATCCATTAAAACAATATTTCTGAGCAGGCAGGAAGAAATTGAGTTCTAACCTGAAATTGCCATTTATAGCAGAAACTAATGAAAATATTTAAGTTCTTTTGTGCAGAGCTTCCTTTCTAAAATCAATATAATCCCCAATTTTCAATTTTGTGTAAAGAATAACTAGGAAAATGGATATAAAGTACTTAGCACAAATTCTGGCAGGTTGTGAACCTTTAAATAACAGTTGTCCCGCAATCTAAGCACTTTATATTTTGAAAGTTAGTAAGTTAATAACATCAATATATAGGATTTAACTACTTTAGATTAAGGTTGTGCTGGTGGTGGGTGTGTTTGGGTCATAAGAAGTAAAGAATACTCCTGTCCACCAGCCCCACCTCCATCCCATCACTCACCTTCTCCCAAAGCACAGCTGCTATTGCATGACAACCCCCAATATGTTCTGCCAACATTAACCTGCCTTTGATGTATAAATAGGGCATTACAGAATGGTACACATTGTCTGTACCTGTTCCATATTACTTGCTGGTTATTTCCATTTCTAAATATCCTCCCCCACCCCATCCTTGCTCCCGTTCTGCTGCTGAATGTCACATGTACATCTCACCTGA